CTCGTGCTGACTTAGCTCTCGGTTTAGCTGGCAAATTTATATCTTTTTGATATTGCAATGAGCGCTTTACGAGGTGCCAATCAACCGAATTTCTTATTGATGAAGATAAACTTTAGTAAAAGGCTAGCTCTGCTTATTTATGACCATTTGAAGATTATTCATACGTTAGTTTCATTTTAATACTTAAGAAGTGGATGGCCACATTTTCCTCAATTTCTCCGTAAATCTGCCCTCCCACTTGCACAATTCTTGTAAGGCTTCATGAAAATAAGTTTTCATACTTCTTTTCTACGATGGCTGTGTAATCTCAATTTGAGATGTAAGACAACGAAGTGACTATTGTTCTCACATGGCAACATTTGCGCATAAATTGATGCGTGTAACTTTACAACTTCTGAAATTTCTAGTCAATTTTTACCCTTTTAAGAATTTGAACTTACCGACGATAGGGAGAGACTAGTGACTCATAACGTACACAGTTCGATCGATTCAAAATTGCTAAGAATAAGTACTCTGTTGCACTTCTCATTGAAATGCCTTCTGCCTTTTTCAAATTATTTAAAATACAACTATTCTTTTAATTAATCATTTTTACTTATGCATTTATTGTATGCCCTATAAATAGTGCGCCTAAGATAACAGAGATTAACCTGCATCAATCTTTTTATTATATACGTTTTTATAGGTATGGACGAAGATGTAGACTTTATTCTGAACTTTGATGAGGACGTTTTCGAAAGCAAATTTACTTACTGGAACAAATTGCCTGCTCGTCTAAAAATTGAAATCCTACGAAATCTTCCATATCCAACTTTGAGAAACTTTATGTTTTTGAGCAGAGAATGCATGGCTCTAGCGTCGATTGTGAAGACTCATGCTTATGGTGTATACCTCCAGAACAAACCTTTCTTCGGTTATCCAGAGGATGTAAGTAGAGATTCGGTTTCTTTTTATTGAGTTTCCTGGCATGAAGTCAGCATGTTTCATATGAGAGAAAAGTTTCTGATTACTTGTATGCAGTTTTTTTCATGTTTTTTTTCTCTTTGAGATTGGAAGCAAAGAAACTTCTGCAACCATCACTGTCTATTACATACCTCCCGAAGCAGTTGGGATTCCAGATTCACACAAGCCTTTCACTATGGCCTTCGTCGACGTTGAGAACGGCGATTGCATAGTGAGAAGGTAATATTTAGTGAAAGGTGCATTCTTCAACAAAAATTGAGAAGTGCAGGAAAAGGGAAAAAAGAGGACGATGGATCATCAAGAACGGAGCCCGATACCGCAAAGAAAAGTCCTGCTCGGCTGCAATGCGAATGTTTTTCCAGCTCACAAAAAATATCAAAGCAGAGCACTTAGCTGTTGAAATGGTGAACTTTTTGAGAGCGAATCTGTACGTTTGTCACATACTTAATTATGCTTACTTAGGGCACGGACAACCCAGTGATTGAGCGCCTACTGATGGACCTACCGCCCTCAGCTTCCCTTACATGCGAAATGCTTACTGTTCGTGCAGAAAGCGGTGCTCTTCCTCCTTTGCTGCTCCGTTTCGTCACTCCTGGCTGTGGACTTCGCATTTACAACATCTTCCCTTTCTCTGATGAAATTTTTATGGATAGTACGTTCTTTGATCATCAAGTGGTAAGCGTAATGACCAGTTGCTAGTCAGAGATGACGAAACATTCATCATTCTCTAAGGTTCGAGAAGCTCCTGCGTTTGATACTGAAGCCATGATCGCAATCACTGACGACCAACTTTCTTGTCTCAAAGCGCAATGGATTTGTATGAAAGCTCCTCATGTGTCTTCAAAAGGCATTAACAAAATAATTATGGTATGTCCTCTCTAACTTCTGACCAGACAAATTTGTAGAGCGCTCAAAACTACTCGTTGAGACATCAGCATATCGCATTCTTCAATCTAGGAAATAATTCGTACATACTGCCACTTCGCGCATGTATGAGGCATGATCCATGAGAATAAGCTGCACGCGACTTCAGCACACAGTGACGCAACGCAGCCGCACCGTTTCTCCCAATCAATAGTTGGCGCCTGCTCCAAATCACTGTGGTTTCCACTTATAGTCAACCCGTCTTCATTATGATTAACAAATTTAGTTGCATCCAGTAAGAACAAATAAATCCTAAAATTATGTAAAATGGGAAGTGACTATACAAGATACAGCAGAACATGCGGGCTCATGAGATGGTTCTAAAACTATTACGAAATTGCAATCTCATACATAGGGAATACTTTTCATTTGGAATGGCTGCCTAGTGGCATAAAACACCTACCCTGTGCTAAATGTTTCGAAGGTTGGTATAATGACTTAACGCGGGATGAGAGGTTTTCAAAGCACAGCAATAGTTTTTGAGACCAAAGATAGTTTTAAATTATTTTGAAGTGTTTACTGATTACAGCTTTATAGTCAGTATGAGCTGGCTGACAAAAAATATTGGAATGACCTAGGCATTTCCACTGTATACTATTTATGCTCACAGCATCTTGGTTTCAGCAATGGTTGGAAGGGAAACGGAAGATAGCCAATATAACTTTGACTAAGACAGGAAAGCTTAACAACACCGAGATCTTTGAAGGCGTGGATGAAAGCAGAATACTATCTTACGAGGAGATCTCAAAAAGGTAA